GGTGACCGGTCGGGAAGTTAGAAGATTTGGAATGAGTGATCCACACTTGAGTAGTTAAGAGGGGCGATTAGAGACTAAATCATCAAATAATTCAAAAATTGAAAATCGAAAAAAAAATCTCCAAAATTTTTCAAAAAATATATTTTTTTAAAAAACCTTTAGTACCGGTTGGTAACACCAACCGGTACTAAAGGTCCCCCATACCACGGCGCGAGCTCACGCCACGTGGTGGGCCTTTAGTGGCGGTTCGTGTCGAACCGGTACTAGGGGGGGGGGCTTTAGTCTCCACTCTTTATTGCCGGTTGCAGAACCGGCACTAAAGGCCCTTATGAACCGGTATTAAAGCTTCGTTTCCTACTAGTGAATGCTAGAAGCCAAGGTATGATTGTACTCATGCCAAAATACAAGTAATTGTCAATGCGGTCGAGCTTAATGACCATAAACAAAGCGCTTTATGGGAGTCAGCCCATGTGAATAAAGGTTTGAAAGAGTTTTTGTTTGTTTGTTTGTGTCTCAATAAAAGAGTGATTGAAGAAGAGGGGAAGAAGAAAGGTATTTATTGCCTCCGATATTGTTGACTCACGCCACCACTTGTTGACTCGGACAGACCCTCCTCATGCCGCCGCTTGTTTGACTCGGACGGGCCGACCGAGGTTTCGACTTTCTCTTTTTCCTTGTTGACTTCAATGACATTTGTTGTATCAATAGGGATCACCATATCCGAGGGATTGGATATTGTCGTGATTTTCCTAAAAATGGCAGTACCTTTTCTTGTTTCATGAAAAGAAAAGGAAGGCAGCTTTGTATGAAAAAAAAAGTAAAGTTGGGAGAGAGAGAGGGGTAGTAAGTGGGCTGAGATGGGCCTGTATGTGATGTCCATCCATACCACGCAGAGTGTTCGTCTTCTTACAAGTTGTGGTTGACAACACAAAAATTCATGGGCCATATCCTAAGTCACCACACGGTCCGAGAGGAAGTTGAACCAAGAGGCAAATTGTTGGGAAGCCGTGGCCGGACACTTATAGTGAGCAGCGTGCCATAAGAAAGCAAATAAAACATCAAATCAGTAATAGTTACAGAATGCAATTCAAACTCAAGCAAATTCATTTTTTTCATGTACATATATTCGACTTCGTGTTATATACTTTGCACCGATTTCCAAATTCAATCCTTCCATGCCATTGAATAACAAAAATAGCTCGTCTCTCCCTCCCTCTATCGGTTTGGGGACCAAGTCACCCAGCAGTCTTGTCGATGTTAATTTAAAAATTGCTATACGCGCAAATTACAATGTAAAGCTAAATTACTCACGCTGGTTAATTAGGAGATGCAATTTCAAGCGTTTCCTTATGTAGAAGAAATTTGCAAATCTTTGGCACGGCAAAAATAAAAGAGAGGAATTTGCATGCTTTTTTTTTTAGCATCAGTACAGACACAAGCGCTCATATACACGCGCATACATTCACCCCTATGAACGCGCGCACACACACCCTATCTCTATGAGCACCTCCGAGAGACTGGGCCGGCATATCATTTTGAGATTTACGAAGCAACTGTAGGCGCCTCGTCGTCGATAGAAACGTCTCCTCCCACTGAAAGCGCATCGCCGGAAATCCTGAAATAAATCCAGGAATTTGCATGCTTTCTGAAACTGAAAAGCCAGCGGGGATTTGCAATTTACTCGACACTTAATGAGTAACATTAATTCCCATTGCCATACGTACCGTCGTCGCCAGCCTGGGCGGAGTCGCCGATAAAACCCGGCGCCGGCCGGCCGCATCCATTCCATCCTGCCGCCAGCCCGCTCCTCTCCTCGCTCCCATCCAGTGGTTAGAAGCCGAGGATTCGTCCGTCGAAAAACCTGTGCTGTACCGGCGGTCTGCCATGGCTTCGGAGCCGGTGATCGGGAAGCTCAGCGTCCGCGTCGTCCGAGGCCACAACCTCATCGTCGCCGACCCACTCACCCACACCAGCGACCCCTACGTCGTCCTCTACTACGGCTCCCAGGTCAGACGACCCTCATCTCTTCTCTTCTCTTCTTAGTCCTTGACGTAGGAGCCGTGTGTTGCCGCCGGCGGCCGGCTGCTGAGCGCCGCGTGGCCAAGGTCGCAGCCGACGACCGGCGCATACATAGGTCAGGGAGGGTGCCCATCTGCTCCGAAATCGTTTTGTGCTCACAACATGTTCCATAGATGAACAAAGTTTCTGACCAGGGATTAATTATTTGCCATCCTTATATTCTCAGATAATTATTGCTCCCGAAAGGTGCGGATTAATACATTATGAACAGGTTTCGAAGTGATTATATGAATCAGACTGTAGTTGTTCCCAAACTTGGTCATGGGATTTTCTAAAATGAACCAATTAGTTCTATTTTATCTCATCGAGGAAGGAACTGTTGCTTGACTTTGATAGTGCGCTATAAATTCCGGACGGTGGCATGCATGATGCCAGATTTTCACTTCACTATTATGCACAATATATAATTATACAAACTGTAATTTCTAGAGTTGATTTCAGGTTCTGTATGTGACATGGACAGATGTCCCGCTTCTCACCATTACTGCTAATTTATTTCGTTATCTCTGTGTTACTGAAGTTTTATTTCCTCATGGTGTACAAGGTGAAGACTAGCGTCCAGAAGAAAAATGTCAATCCTCTATGGAATGACGTGTTGGTGCTCCCTGTCACAGATCTTACAAAGCCAGTCAAACTTGTAAGTCTCCTGTTTGAGTTTCTTCGATTCATCAAGTAGACTCTACTAAAACTTTGTCTGTGTATATTATGTGTAACCTGAAGTTGAAAGGAACTTCAATATTTGTTACATACAGTAGTATTTTAACAAATTTCTTAAATAAACCGCCAAAATATGATCGCACAGAATTTTCTTCTGCGCTGAAACATGAAAAATAGGGGACCTTTTACACCATAGGTTCATAGATGGTTGGCGAAGATATTAAATGAACGAGGTACTTATATATCCAACTGCCAAAAACATGATGCAGGAGGTTTTTGACGCGGACACATTCACGGCGGATGACAGCATGGGAGTGGCCGAGTTCAGCGTAACCGATATCTACGACGCCGCGAAGCTGGATCTAAAGCATGCCTCTGACGGAACCAGGATCAAGACGATCTACCCGGTCGGCACAAACTACCTTGGCGGTGAGAGCCACGTGTCGTGGAAGAATGGCAAGGTCGTCCAGGACCTGATTCTGAAGCTGAAGAATGTCGACAGTGGCTCTGTCGTGCTGCAGCTGGAATGGGTTCACGTCGTCCCTGGTGTTACGCTTTAAGCTGTGCCGGACTGAATGTTATATCGATGTGTTGGTAATTTGTGGATGTTGTGGTTTGCAGTGCATGATGTGTTGGTAATTTGTGCTTGGAGTCGAAGAAATATGAGGGTTGTGCGTGTTATTGACTTCAGCTTGAAATGAAATTTGCTTCGAACATAGGAGGGTTGAGTTGACCCCTTTTGTGATTTTGCAATTTGCATAGAGCATGCTTCTTAATCGATTATTGGTGGATCTTACAGAAAAAACCAAAAGGAGCTGATATATATAGGGAGTAAGGCTGCTCATGCAAGTAACAGGTGAGATCTTCCATGCAGCTAGAGGTTGGCGCCCCTTTCAGGGATTAAACAGGTGAGATCCATTCTGCTGAAATATGTTAAAGGTGCTTGTCTTTCAGGGATTAAACGTTAGCACGGAGCTCACAATTTTAACTCAGTCTATTATCAATCAGAAAACTATTTCATAGATATGTGAAGAAGAAAAATGTAAATGGGGCTGATACTATGTTCTGCGAAGATTGGTGATAGATGATAAACCTCTAAATCAATCTTACCCCAGACTTTATGATGTTTGCTTTACTAAAAGCATTGCTGTCTCTGAGGTTTTTGAGAAAGGGTGTGATCACTTAACTTCGAAAGAAACTTGTGGGATCATTTAACCTTCGAAAGAAACTTGTGGGGTGATACGCTACTGCTTGTAAATATCTGAAGTGATTGATGTTAATCTGTAATTCTTTCTTTTAATGGAAATCAGGGAACCCCTTTTACTAAAAAGGATGATGTGGAAGATTTGGGGCGCTCGGGACGCGCGAGTTTTCCGCCAATAATCAGTAAGTGTTGATGATGTACTCCCTCCGTTCCTAAATGTAAGTCTTTTTAGAGATTCCAATGAGGGACTACATGCGGAGCAAAATGAGTGAAACTACACTATAAAATATGTCTATATACATCCGTATATAGTCCATAGTGGAATCTCTAAAAAGACTTATACTCCCTCCGTTCCAAAATAGATGACCCAATTTTGTACTAAAGTTAGTACAAAGTTGGGTCATCTATTTTGGAATGGAGGGAGTATTTAGGAACGGAGGGAGTAGTAGCCAACATACTATCTGATTTCAATTTATGGACAGACCGACTTCGAGCAGCTGAAATAAAAGCTCACACTGGGCAGTGTCGTGATTTTGTCTTCTTTTCTTTCTTTTCTTTCCCTTCACCTTTTTAGCCATCATCAAAGATTTCAGGGGCTCGACAAGACACAAAAAACTGTTGATGCAACTGCAAGCGCATAAAAGAGCTCATCTATACGTCGTCTTCATAGATATACATGATACAGTTAACTAGTTTCAGTACTAAATACAGACACATACACATACAAACACTATGTATTGATGTGATGCCATATCCTGTTGGTGGTACTCTGTCGTAGACAAAGTGTATCAAAACCCCATTCAGAGGCTCAACAAGACACACACAGAAAAAAGGTTATCTGATATATCGGCCTCATATACATACTACATGAACATGATACAGTTAAGTACACACTAACACACGTATAAATACTACGTATACACTGTATATTGGCGTGATGCCATCCTGCCTGCATATGTACATCTTGTCTTGTACTAGAGTCTCCTCTCTATCTGTATCGTAGACTAACAGCTGTATCAAAACTTGGTCCCTAGCTGCCTAGCTAGATATTGGTGACTAGCTAGAGTCTGTCTGAGCCTCGTCTAATTTCCTGGACCCTTTGTCGCAACCTTCTCCTGTGGTCTTGGATTTTCCATAGCCCATGGCCAAGGACCACCGCGGAGTATATGCCGTGGGTGATCATCGGTGCCAGGATGTTGCCCGTCTGCATCATCGGGTCGCGAATCAGATATATATATGTGTTAGCCAGTTAGATAATCCATCATCAAGAGACCATGTTGACGATGCCTCATTCGGTAAATGGATCAATAAAATCTATGTCAATGGTTACCTGGATCCATTCGAAGCCGAGGTAGAAAGCCAGGATGCCTTCTAGAAGAGGTGAGTATATCTTCCTCATCTGCCTCCTTTCGTACCAAGCTGGGAATTCAGAAGAATCATGTTACTACATCATCTCTGTTTTCACACATCTTATACACCAGCTACTAGTTCTTGTTAGTATTTGCAGGATAAGAGAATACACACATAGAAACACACCTGAAAACAGTTTCTTCATATTCTGTCGCCCGGCGTGCGAGCGCATAACCGGTGTCACCACATAGGTAGGGTCTGAAACAAAAACACAGCAGGAGATGGGCTCAATTTCATCTGAAACAACAAGAAGCATGACATGGAATCGGTGGGTTTAGTTACCTTTGGGGGCGGTCGCGATGTAGTAGAGGGAACCCGTGAGGGCGGCGGTGATGGCGGCGGCGAAGGTTTGCGCGAACGGGACAAATGGAGGCACCATTCCACTCTGCAGATATATATCAACAAAAGAAGCAAGTACAGTTAGGTACAGTTATGTTCATCAGTCAAACATATGAACTGAACTGAAGAAAATCAAGTGCAATTAAGTCACAATCAGTACGTACCAGGGACACAATCCCCCGGGCATCTTTCATCAGCTCCGTGCCTCTCAGGAATATATCGGCCAATGCTCCCTGCAATTTTGATCAATTGATTCAGTTTCAGGCTATGGAGAAAATGAGATATAATTTGTTTCTCATTTTAGATGAAAAATGGGGGATATAATTAGTGGCATCGATCAATCAATCCTCTGCCTGCACTCGAGCAATGAATAGTTACCTGGACGGCGGCGCGGTAGAAGAGCTCCTCGCCGACGGAGCTGGCGGCGACGACGAGGATGAACTGCCAGGGGGACATGCCGGCGAAGAAGGTGCGGAGCTCCTCGTCCTCCACGTCGCGGATGGCGCGGGCGTGCGGCGAGTACTTGACCACCTCGTCGTCCAGGATGAAGAGCAGCGCCATGATGGGCGGCGACGCGTAGCCGAGCCCCTCCACCAGCGCCGTCAGCGACGGGTGGAACCCGCCGGAGGAGTCGATGCCGGCCATGTCGCAGATCGCCCGCCCCGCCAGCGCCATGCCCGCGTAGATGCCGATGCCGTAGCTCAGCCGCACCACGGCGCCCAGCTTCTCCCACATGGCCAGCTCCGCGTCCCGGGCCCCTCCGAACCCCTCCGCGCCCGCGACGACCGCCGGCACGTCGACCACGGGAGGCCCGTCCGCGGCGAGGCGCCCGGCCGGCTCGACGCCGTCCCCGCCGCCCTGGTGCGCCCCGGCACGGAGCCTCCAGGCGCCGGCGCCGGCGCGGAGGACCCGCGCCGGCGTGAAGCCGATGGAGCAGTGGGCGTATGACGAGCAGCTGAAGCTACATGGCGCCGCCAGCTCCATTAACCACCCACCCACCTACAGTAGCTAGCTAGCAAGCTCCGGTCGCCGGCGCCCTCCCTCCCCTCCCCTCCTCCCCGTTCTTGCTCGCTTCAACCTCCAAGATACGATCTTCCCCGGCCACCCAGCCGGCTAGCTGCAAGCAAAGTAAATCTGAGGGGAGCTGGTGGGCAGTGGAGGTGAACGAACGAAGTTTTTTTAATGGCGGCGGTGGTGGACGCACGCTCCACGATCGGGCCGCCGGATATACTAGTATTTGATTTGATTCTCCAACCTCCGTCCGTCGTTACGTGACGATTTGGGAAATGAGATGAGAGGGGGGGAGGCCGCCCGCGTGGCGCTTTGCCAGTGGGCGCTGGCAGATGAGAGGGATTCGCCCGGCCAATCGCCAACTGCCATGTCAGCCAGCCGATAAGGTAAGGTGATTGTTACCTCGCTGACGTGGCACCCATCCGTCCATCTCTGCCACTCTGTCGCTCTCTGCTGCTCTCTCATCTTCTCATGTGCGGCTCCCACCGGGGCTACGACGTCGACATACTGCTGTCCATTTGTTTGCACTTATTCATTCGAATTTTCGAGGTTGAAATGATCCGGCGATGGAGAAAACGACTTTGGTTTTGTTGTTGGCAAATTAGCTAACAACCAGGGAACTGATGAATCGACCAATGCACAACCTCATTTATTTTCTCTGGGTGTTTAGCTCTCGCTCATTTTTTTCCCCGCCCTTTTCTCATGTCATTCTCATCCTAGAAAACCCCCTTGCACGTTTATTCTCTTCCATCGGTGTTTTAGTTGGATACCCACTAAGCTTCGTATATCATCGCAAACATGTATATGTGTTGACCTTTCAATTGATGGTTTTAGTCCTACGATGATGCCTCCTAGGATTTCGAGAGGTGTCGCACTAATCAGAGTCGGCTAAGCTAAGCTTTAACACAGATCTGGGCTTCCCAAAAGGAACCCGGATGAAACACGCACGGGTAGACCTTCCGAGGTTGCAAAAAACATGAAACATGGAGATTCACGAGAGAACTTCATGGATCATGAGTTTTATACAATAAGATTACTTCAAGAGCCAGCTGCATTGTAAGACTTTTCTTTCCTTAATAAAAAAACTCCATAAGAGATAGCATGGTCATGGGTTTTTTTTTGCAAACTCTTTTGATTATGAAAAAAAAACGTGGGTATGTACTGTTTGTTCTAATCAGGTTAGAGTGTAAATAGTATCGAATCCATTGTGGAACTTTATCCACTTGGCTTCGTCGACTGTGCCAAGACAAAGGTCATGTGACATTCGGCATATGAAGGACTACTAAACGAGATGTATGAAGAATCAAACTAATGTCTAAAAGTGGCTGAAGCACGAGAGTTTCTTGAGGAGGAACTGGTGGACGATTTTGAGAGGAATGGAAAAAAACCCGCGAACAAGAGAATATTTTTGAGTTGTGAAACATATTCACAAGAGCGTATCCGGCAGCAAGATATACTACAAGAAGCCTCATAAACATATGCCTCAGGAGTCACAATCATCAATTACCACCCCGCCAAATACCTAGTTGGCGCACAACAATAATTGAGGCCAGTTTGTTCCCCGGATATGTTTCACGCTTGCAGAATAGGGTTACACATTGTCTTGCTAGCTATGGTCATTTTGTAATTTAGCATTGCGTGCTGGTTATGAAATGGTTCACCTTATATATCTGATCTTGTCCTAGCGGATTGTCACCCGCCACTAATGAAATAAACTTCTGGTTCTTTGAAAAAAAGAAGAAGAAAAGAGACGACGGTTTCTCCGTGGTTTCAACATAGAGCGAATACATAGGTCTCCATGCATGATTCTTGCAACAATGCGATACTATACACCACCGTAGTACGATTGTACCGGATATGTCACATATGTGCATAAGACCTTGACAACATCCATGTCTCACTCGACCTTCACATGACATCATGAGGGGTATCTCCCCGCATCATGACGGGTATCACCAGGTAACTGGTAAACTCTCTGGAATAAATTACTCTCAATAATCCACACCTGCCTTGATGGGCTTGTATGTACATAGTATATATAGCCTGTAGAACAAAAGGTCTGCTCAACCATCCTAGTTTTCATGAAATTCTCTAAGTTCATTTGACATTTATTGAGATTTTATCCTTGTTATGAAGTTTCCCAAAAGGATAATCTTTTTCTCCTAATCCTCATGGGCCGAATTCCATGGGTCCAGCTCACTCCTCTTCTTCCCTTTTATTTTTCCCAAACCTCATGGGCCAAGACGAATCTGTGTTTTTCTCTCTCTTAATGTATTCTTGTCCGCTCGAGTCTTAGCCCATCCCACGGTGGCTGGGAGCAGCACCCAGTGCCACTCTTTGTATAAAATGTTTCCCTTTTTATGAAATACAAATTTGTTAAATTACAAATTTTGAATGAGTTGTATCATTTCTAAATATTTAAGTTACGCCAAAAAATGGGAAAAAAATATGCACATGATAGTAGTTGTGTGATGTTGACCCGCAAAGTTTCGAGTTCAAATGTTCTTTTATTTAGGAGAAAAAAACAAAAGAAATTTGATTGCATGAATTTTCATGCAAAAATGGACGGTAAGGATAGAAGGTATAGGGGTACGGTAGTACTACCACAACTTCCCCTTCATAGATAATATATCTAGCCTTCATGTCCCACTCCACTTTACATAGCATCATGTAGTGTATCACCATGTAACCGTTAAACTCTTGAATAAATTACTACGTGCTCGCTCTGTATAAAGAAATATAAGAGCATTATATTTCTTTACGGAGGGATCACATCTCAAATAATCCAAACCTGCCTTGATCGGCTTGTACGTAGTATCTCTACTTCTAAAGAAGGAGTTGGTAGTCTCCACTCCCCGATTTATTTTCGTCTCATCCCACCACCCCCTCCAGCTGAACAATGAAAACCCCCCACTCCTCCCTCGATCCACTCCCTCCCGACGAAACCCGCGCAGGAAAATACACACGCCACAGGTTCCTCATCCTCCCTACGATCGCCCCATGCCGCTTGTAAGACACGGCGGCCACCCCCAGATGCCTTGTCGATCCTTCTTCGCGCGCCACCGCCTCCCTTGCGAGGACGCCCCGCCATGGGTCTCAATCGGCGCCATGACGGCCGTGGCCTCCCCATCCGCCCTCGCGACCCTACCATTGGTGGCAGCGATGGTGGACAACCCCCAATAATGACGTACTTGAAGGGGACATGCAGGCGATGACAATGACATGGCGAAGAGCTTGGTAGCGGTTAAGACGTGGAGTATCGGTGAAAAAGGATACCCACCTGGAGAGAGAGACGTTACAAGTGCACATGAACCTCATTACCCGACTGAAGTGTCTAAGGACTCCTAGTTCAACGCCCCTCCGCGCTCAAGTAAGAACCCACAAGGTATAAAGATCAGGAGAGCTGCTTTGCGAATTTCGTGGCTGCGAGGGATCACTGATTGATCGTATTGCATCCCTTGAAAATAGGTACCAAACTATCGACCTGGAATGAACTACTACCTATATAATAAGGGCAGTACAAGCGAAGTAATGACAAAAAAATCACAATCCAGAACATGGAGAACCAACAAAACGGAGCATGAGAAGAAAAGTTGTACCGTAACATTATCATAGAAACCAAACAACATATGCTAAGCCGAGCATCTTAGCGGAACACATGACAAGGTATATTCGGAAGGCGCCTCTCGGCTCTCGAGTAGGGGTCACGTGAGAGCTCTTCATAGCCACGGGAAATTGCGTTGCGTTTCACCAAACTTACTTATGTCCCAGAGACACAACTTGATGAATGAGTAATAATTGGTACAAACACAAACAATGTTTATCCCAAATATATCATGAACAATGAAAAACCAATAAAAGACACTTACTACCAAAAACTTGTTGAATTAATCATGATCAATAAATAAAATGCATTAAGTATTTTTTTTTGAGGGATAATACAGTGCATTAAGTGAGGAACACCTTCTAAACTTGTTAAACAGCCCACCTATCCATCCAGCAAAGCCACTTACCAAAAACAAGGCGGGGGAGACGGACGGAAAACCGCGAGCTTTTTCCAGCTCGAGTCAACCCACCAAACCCACGCGCCGCGGTGTCTTTCCCCTCCCCTCCGCCGGAGCAAAGCATCTCCGCCACCGCCATGAGAGATCCGAAGCTCCCCCCGCCGGCGACGGCCCGGAGGCCGACGCCCGGCCTCGCCGGCACGCTCCGGAGGCACTCCGCGTGGCTGCTGCTCGCCTGGTTCGCGCTCTCCGTCTGCCTCTTCCTCTCCGCCGCCCCGCCCGCCGCCTCCCCGCTCCTCCGCCCCGCCGTCCTCCTCCGCAACACCAAGCCCCGCGCCCTCGCCGCCGCCGCCACAACCTCCAGGCCCCCCGTCCGGATCTACGTCTACGACCTCCCCGCCCGCTTCAACCGCGACTGGGCCGCCGCCGACCCGCGGTGCGCGCGCCACCTCTTCGCGGCCGAGGTCGCGCTGCACGACGCCCTGCTGGGCTGCCCCGCCGCCCGCGCCGACCGCCCCGAGGACGCCGACCTCTTCTTCGTGCCCGTCTACGTCTCCTGCAACTTCTCCACGGCCAACGGGCTCCCGTCCCTCTCGCACGCGCGCGGCCTGCTGGCCGACGCCGTCGCGCTCGCCCGCCGGGAGATGCCCTACTGGAACCGCTCCGCCGGCGCCGACCACGTCTTCGTCGCCTCCCACGACTTCGGCGCCTGCTTCCACCCCATGGTGAGCGCTGTCGCGTGCGGGTTAGGTGCGCTTCTTGCGTCCAAATGGGGGTTTCCAAGGTGGAGCCGTGGAAGCTAGCTGCTGCGTGTTCTTGGCTCCTAAATGGCATACCAGCTGCTCATGACAGTGAGCGGTCGGTCAGCGTCGATTCCGAATCGGAGCGACTCGAGTTCAATCAATAGCTCTTGCTGTGAAATTGACCAATTCCTAGCTTGATTATCAGAATTTCTCTTGTGCTGCGCCGTATGTCTGTCAGTATACTTATGGAAGCTACTCATCCAACCATTAAAATGCATGGTTGTTGTCATGATGGAGCTTAGTTCGGCTTGAATTTACTTCAATGCGGTTCCCCAACTCCTATAAGAGATTTAGGGGAGCTACTCAGATGCACTAACGTTTCGGTTTGTTATGAGCAGGAGGATGTGGCCATTGCGGATGGCATACCGGAGTTCCTCAAGAAGTCGATCCTGCTACAGACATTCGGTGTGCACGGCCCTCACGTGTGCCAGGAGGCAGAGCATGTGGTTATCCCCCCACATGTGCCCCCGGAGGTGGCGCTCGAGCTACCGGAGCCGGAGAAGGCGCGAAGGGACATCTTTGCCTTCTTCCGGGGCAAGATGGAGGTCCACCCCAAGAATATCAGTGGCCGCTTCTACAGCAAGTAAGCATATGCCACACTTTTCTTAAGTTGCTTCATCTACCAATTATCCCAAAGAGTTAATTACACAAAACCACAACTTCAGGATATCTTATAACACTTTAGCACAACATTTGAATTTTTTAACACAAAACCACAACTTCACGACAACTTATAACACTTTACCACAACTTTTGAGTTTTTTAACACAAAACCACAACTGTTGGCCTAATTCTCAACATTGAGCCCAAATCTACCGGTCAACTTCTTTTAACAGCCAATCTGAATGATTGGGCCCACATGTCAGGCTCTAGGCGACAAGTTCCCTCCTATGTGGCGCTGACGAAATGTGTGTAACATAGCAGTGTGCACACAACATCGTCGTCTCTTCGACGACGCGTTCACCTGCAGCTTCTACGCCATCTACCCCGGAAAAGAAAAAAGATCTGCAGCTTCTACGCCATCTACCCCGGAAAAGAAAAAAGATCCGCCGTCTTCACCTTCTTCGTCTGGCGCACTCCGCCCAACTCCAACCATGTTGTCGTCTGGACAACCGCAGCTAGCACATGCACTATACCACGTCGTGCATAGACAAGGCTCTTGCCTTGTGCTCCACCGCCGTAGAGACGCGCTTGTCCTCCCCAGGACCTCTCTGTCTAGTTCGCGCGCCCCGCCCGACCATGCCATAGTCCGGACGGGCGCTGCCAGCACATCCGTGCCGCCACGTTGTGCACAATCAGGGCTGTCACCTCATGCTTAACGACCACTGCAACGTGTTCGTCCTCACTGATTACGACGTCGAGATCATTTTGGAACTCCGGCGCCAACGATAGTGACATGCGGATGCGGCTTTGTGACACTAGGAACCTCGCCATTGAGGACGCTTGGAGTGATCATCCTATGGCAGAATTTTGACCACCCCCAACAACACCCAGCTCCCTGCTCAATGCGTCGGTGGAGTTTATAGCGCCGGTACGAGATGGCAAGAGAAGGAAATGGTAGGCCACATCGGAGATGCGCACATGCCACCTTTTTCCTGCTTAGTTCCTAATATGTGGGCCCAGTCAATCAAATTGTATATTAAAAGAAGTTGACTGATAGATTTGGGCTCAATGTTGAGAATTAGTTCAGAAGTTGTGGTTTTGTGTTACAAAAACTCAAAAGTTGTGATAAAGTGTTATAAGTTGACCTGAAGTTGTGGTTTTTTGTTAAAAAACTCAAAAGTTGTGGTAAAGTGTTATAAGTTACCCTGAAGTTGTGGTTTTGTGTAATTAACTCTATCCCAAAAGGAATAAGGGGACTGATTTTGAGATTTTCTAAGTTTCTGTCTCACTTTAGTAATGCCTTCTGAGAAATTCAATGCTATCTGATTGAATCATTTGTTCAATATATGTCCTCCATATACTCCCTGCAGAAAAAAAACCTTTAGTTGCCTAAGTCTGGCAAGGTCTCACCCATAACTGTCAAAATTTCATCAATAGCTGTACATATAAGGCCAGTAGGATAACAAAGAGTAACTTAAATTTAACTGATCAGACCATACTTACAATTTACTGGTTCTTATCATTCCCTTGCAACAGGAAGGTGAGGACTGAGCTACTACAACGGTATGGTCGTAATAGCAAGTTCTACCTTAAGCGGAAGCGATACGATGACTACCGATCAGAGATGGCCCGTTCTCTGTTCTGCCTCTGCCCGCTGGGCTGGGCGCCGTGGAGCCCTCGGCTTGTGGAATCAGTCCTGCTCGGTTGCGTTCCTGTCATAATTGCCGATGATATACGCCTGCCATTCCCTTCTGTCCTCCGGTGGCAAGACATCTCATTACAGGTGGCCGAGAAGGATGTCGCCAGTCTCGAGACGGTGCTGGACCATGTTGTGGCAACAAACTTAAGTGTGATACAGAAGAACTTGTGGGATCCTGTGAAGCGGAAGGCGCTGGTGTTCAACCGGCCGTTGCAAGAGGGAGATGCCACATGGCAAGTCCTGAGGGAGCTTGAAGCTTTGCTAGACCGGTCTCAGAGAAGGAGAAGGAGCCGTGTCGGATCATCGAGGAGGTGAAGACCCGAGTGAAGCCAACCGCCAAGGATCTTTTGGTGGTTGCTGACATCTACTCTGCTGCAGCTGTGCAACAACAGCTGCAACTTACAATTCCTGCCGAGCCAACAAAATCACTTGTTGAGCATGAGCGCTGCCAGTGACATGGATTTTTCTCGCCGGAAGTTCAGAAGATCAGTTCCTGACATTCCATCCCAATTTTTGATGGTGAAGTGGACAGTTTGCGAGTCTGTGTATAGTGTACCAACAGAGGCAGTCATGGGCTGACAAAGTGGCAATCTCTGTACAGGAAATTAATTTTATTCATTTATTAGGTGGTTCATGGGTGTTGTGAAGAGGCTGATATTGTACTGGAGATGAAAGAAGATTAAAGATTGTAGTATTGCAGAGGGATGTCTGTGAAGACGTTTCCTAGATGTACCTGTAGAGTTGTTCGGCTGTCATACTTCCATGTACCATATGTCCAATCTTGTTGTATAGAAAAGGGTGCTTCTGTTCCAGTTTTGTTCAGGAAAATGAAAAGGATGGCTTCAGTTTCTGTCACTTTCTGATAAAATCACCTTGGAGTTCAGTTCATGATCAAATTAGCTTTATTCTTTGCAAATTCCATTCATGTGGTTGCTTGAATTCAGCGCAAACAACATGAGGGGGAAAAGGATTATTCAAAAGTACCAACATAATTTGTTGTATTTCGACCCTCCTGTTTCTGCACTAGATTGGTTTCTATACTAGCAGAACCGATCATTCCATTTCTGCTGCCCTCAGATTGTTCTCAACTTAATTTATGCGAACCGTTAGCGTTGGGCGTGATGAACACTCGCCGATAGCACATCTACAATAGAAGAAATCAAAGTTACAAAGAAAATGCAACATAGCAGCAAAAAATATTTTCTGTCTGAATGACCTGATGTGCATGTGCCTTCCCCTAATCAAACTCATAGACTTTGTCAAATCAGCATAACATACAAATGGAAACTTCATTAGAAAATTCTAAATCCTAAACCTTCGAACAAGCATGCTTATTCAGGAGAACATAGAGATAGTAGAGCTTCAGCACAAAGACAGGATGCAGATGCCCATAGGTGGAAGAGAAGCATTTTCAATAATTGCCAATAAGGTTTGCAGTTTACATGGCATATAGTGACTGTTATTCAATGTCTTTACTGGTCCACCCAACTGAGATATGCCATTTCAATGTGTGCTATAGAAGTAATCAACTATGAATGGCTAGCCTGTAATCCCCTGCAGTTGAAAAATGCATCATGTGTGTTTACATGAATTACTCAATACTTCAAGAGCATACACCCTTGCAAGGAGCATCCTTGCAGCGGCAAACAGCTCTCCCTGAAAGCTCCCATCCGTTGAATCCACGCTCGAGGACCGTGATGCTCTTCACCGCTGACTCTTCCTTGGCCTCTGATAAATAGTCCAGGAACATTCTTGCACAAGATGGACCGCGCACCTGCAGTTTGAATGGACGGTTACAAGAAGAACCAGAGGCGATAACCTAAAATCAGATTGGGAGGTAAAATTGTGATGAAAGAACACAAGCGACATACAGCGCTGCTGAATGTAGGAGCTAAATAAGCACAAAGTAACATAGCTGCTACCAAAGCCAAGCGTATTTACCAAGACAAACAACACAAATGACAGTTTATAGCTCTCGCTAGAAGATAAATCCAAGGTTTTTATTTAATATTATTTCTGAAGGGTCCATGGTTTATATTTGAAGGAGCCATTCAGACAAAACCTAAGCAAATAAAGATGTCCTGACCACAGGCCTAGAGAGCACACAAAGATTGCATGGGTATAGAAGAACACTGACCCTGATATCATACAATCATGAATACAAATAACATGTAGAACCACAAAAAGGAAACAATGGAAGTCCCTATGGTTACGGCGTCTGGAAAAGAAACTGTCTCACTGTCGATGTTCACGAAATCTTCAATGGTCTGATTCTAAAACATAACGTAAGACAGCTCCAATCACCTCAGGTCTGATTTTATGAAAACATAGCTGTCTTCCTGTTTTGTACACATAGATAAAACAGCTGCTACCAGAGCTAAGCATCTTTACCAAGGCAAACAGTACAAATTACAATTTATCAGTTCTATTATCTATAAAGTGAACCATATGAACTCAGAAAACGATCCCAGGGAACTAGCAGTAGAATTAAGCAATAGTCCTTGCTAGAAGATAAAGCAATGGTTTATATTAGAAGTACTGATTCAGACAAGGCCTAAGCATGGAAATATTCCTTACTGCTGCTTGGAGCCTTTGGAAGGAGCGCAATAACAATTACTTCAGACGTGTGTCACCCTCTATTCAGTCTTGGTTCAACAGATTCAAGGAAGACTTTGGCAATATTAGATATAGACTGTCTAGTGATAAGAGACATGTTGTCTCTTCCTTCTTGCAAAGTCTGCCTCAACATAGTTAGGGCTGAGTCTT